TGCACAGCTCAAGAAGTCCTGTTTAGATCTGGTGGAGATACCTTCCAGAAAATTCTGCCGCTCTTGTATGATCTGTTCCCGCGTCACCCAGTGCGACAGCAAAAAGTGCAGTTCGAACTGTTCTTTGTTCAGCTTTTGTCCGATTTGACGGCCCATTTTCAAGACCGAAAAACCGTCGAAAACGTGTGCACCACAAGGGGCCTCCCCTGTTGGCGCTGCGCTTGGTAAGAGTGCAGCAAGTTTCCTTGCTCGTTTGAAACGAATACGTGTTCAAGACAAGCATTAACTGGCCACACTTTGGAGCTCTCCGGCTGCATGTTGCTGAAGAAATGGTCGCTCCGCGTCCAGATTGTGCGATTCCAAGTCTGAGCTCGAAACTGGTTCGCCAGCACCAAAATGCAGGCCCAAAAATGCGACCGTTTTCAGAGCCTTCGGGAAATATGCCAATACTCAGAGGCACCAAAAACGGGACCCATTTTTGAGCCCGCTTCTCACTCCTTTTTTTGAATTCTCAACTCTAAAAAAATGATCACCGTTTCTCTTTTGCTTACGCAGCCACTCCAACCCACAGCACATCTTATTGAGCTGTTGCATTCATGGACAACGACAGCAACAATGTTCTGTGGCTTTAGCTATGAAATCGAACAAATTTCGAAAAAGGTACTCCCGCAACTGGGGGAGGCCCCTGTGGCGCACACGTTTTCGAAGGGGTTTTTCGGCCTCGAATATGAGTCCGTCAAATCTGTCAAAATAAAGATCGAGACAAGGTCCAGGATATTTGGGAGGCTCCCACATGGGGGTCTCTGCCAAAAGAAACTTCCTCCGCTCTTGCGCGATCTGTTCCGGCGCCAACCAGTGCGACAGCAAAAAGTGCAGTTCGGAGTGTTCTTTTGAGGGAGCAACCAGGAATGTTGCAAATGGAGTCTCTGCTAAAAGAGCAAAAAAAAACTGGCGAGAGCCACGTGAGCCCATGTCGTGCATGAGGGGGTTTTTGGAGTTAAGCACCGTGCACAAATTCCGAACCGTCAGCCACACCTCTCGACACCATAACTCTGCACAGCTCAAGAAGTCCTGTTTAGATCTGGTGGAGATACCTTCCAGAAAATTCTGCCGCTCTTGTATGATCTGTTCCCGCGTCACCCAGTGCGACAGCAAAAAGTGCAGTTCGAACTGTTCTTTGTTCAGCTTTTGTCCGATTTGACGGGCCCATTTTCAAGACCGAAAAACCCGTCGAAAACGTGTGCACCACAAGGGCCCTCCCCTGAAGAGAAAAAGTCCTTCAAAGGCCCCCGGTCCCAAAAATATAGGTAAGAAGTCGTCCCGCCTTCCCCTCCGCCCCCCCTTGGGGTACGGGACCTGAAGTAGTCTTCTTTTTCCGCGTGATATTGCTCACGATGATATGCTGCTCTAGACCGAAACATGAGTCGATAACTCCACCATGCTAAATATCATCTTTGTCGTCGCCATCAAAATATCATCAAAAGAATATCTGCCACTATCACCATCATTTAGCATTACAATTCATGTCAAATGCTAGAAACTACTACGCCGATTGCCGCTTTCCGCCCACGGCAGGGCATAGTGCGACACCCCCGATCCGTGCGCCAAGTGCGGGCCGGGGCGGGTAGTCATGCAGCATGGGAGGTGGAGTAGCGGCTCGGGACTTGAGGGTATATATCTGGAACTGCTACGCATGGTAGGAGAGTCGTGGTTGGTGAGCCTTACCTGATGGGGTACCCGATCGGGTGCCCCAGCGTTTTGGATGGGCTTGGTGTATCTCTAGGGGTGCTGTTCCCGATCGGGTCCAGTACGTGAATGGGTGAAAATTTCAAGGCAGCGATGAGGCTTGGAAGGACCCACCCGCCCAGAAATATGCTATCTGCAACTACTGCCACTGAATGGGCAGATGAAGGCACCATGAGGCCCCGCAAGAGCTCAGCAGCTTCTTCAGGAGCTCCTATATAAAGGAATGATATATATATATATATATATATACACACATGTATATACTACCCCCCCCTAAAGCCCGCAGAATGGACAAAAGGGGAAACGCCGAAATTGGTGGAGACCTGCAAATCCACGAAACTCATCGAATTTGTATGGGAATGATTCGTTTTGCAGCAGCCAGCCTTGAAAAACCTTGGATTTTCCGTGTTTCTGGCCAGTTGAAACGGGGGGAACACCGAGATCCACCCGCGGCCCAACGTAAAGGTGGAGACCTGCAAATCAACGAAAATCATAGAATTTGCAGGTGAATGCGTATTTTTACAGCAGCCAGCCTTGAAAACCTTGGATTTTCCGTGTCTCTGGCAATCGGAGACGTTGAACTGGGATGTTGTTATAGTTTGTTGTTGGCTCCGACGTTGACGCAAACACGCGCATGCGTGAGTAGGAGTAGTAGTAGTTGTTGTTGCTGTTGGCTCCGACGTTGACGCAAACACCCGAAGACAGACATAACGTTACTTGGTTTTACAGCACATCCTGCACTCGAAGTGCCTTTCGCATCGGTGGCGTCTGTGTTTCGTGCGTGCCAGGGTGGCTTGGGAGGGAGGGGTGGTGGGGGCAGGCCGGGGGTGTTTTCCTGATGTAGTCAGGAAGGGGGGTGGAGGGGGGGAGGCGGGGTTTTCCTGATGATGTATCCAGGTCCACTCAAAATCGGCACGCGGCCGGGGTTCACTACTACCGTAGTAGAAACGAAAGACAAGCTACGCTAGCTCTCGTGATTATAGGAATATGTTGTATCGCAGTCCGCCGCTGCCCACTATTTATTTCGTGTATTGATGACATTTCACTGTCGAATGCACGTTTTCCAGAAAACCGTTACTAAGAACTACAAATATCAGATTCAGAATACATGAGTCTAAACCCAATACCATCGATGCGTACTTCCTCAAGGATTCATAGTCAAAGAACCAATTCTAAGTTTGGTGGTGTCTTATCTCCTCCCGTGCGCCCCGAGTTCGGGCTCCAGGATGCGAGGTTTGCCTGCCAAACTGGCGAGATCAGCAGGCGATCTGTTAAAGGAACTCTGATCTGAGCCGTTGGCAGAGAGCCCCGAGGCAACATGGAACAACGATCGGAGCATGCCGATTTCTTGCCCGGCCATTCCTTCGGTTTGGACTTTTGCTGAATCCAACTTACTCTGGTCTCTGTGCGTCAACCGAGCTTGGCCTTGTTGCTCGCACTGCATCCTGCGGAACCGCGTCCGGATTGCTGGCTGAGATCCGTGAATACGACTTCCCGAGGCATGGACACCAGAAGCCCGTAGCTGGCAATATCTGGCTGCACGCTCCTCGCAGCCGTTTATCCTGTAATGATTTCTCTGCCCACGACACTCTGCAAAGCTCAGGGCCTGAGGTGGATCTGCCTGCAAACTTGCAGGGCATCCTCCCAGCGCCCGTCTTCATGGAGGGCCAAACTTGGACGAGAACAGCACTGAGCTCATATCGCACTGAAGATACGCTATTCAGGTGCGGGCAAAACAGCTGCCACGCCTGGCTGGCAAGCCTGTTTCAGGCCAGGTGCTGGTGTTGGGCAAAAGTCCCACATACGTGCACCTCCTGGGTCGATGCTTCAGGAAAACCTCGGTCAGCAAGTTGTTCAAGCGATTAGAGCGGGTCTCCATTGTGGGTACGGGCGCTTGTGTTTTGCTATGGCGGCTTTTTGCTGTTGTGCCGGAGGGTGTATTTCAGCTGTTGCCGCGGGTGGAGGGCGCTGGTGGTTTGGTCTGGGTGTTTTGGTGTTAAAGCGAAAGGAGAGGAAGGTGTTGCTGCGGGGACGGGAGGCAACGAAATGAGGAGGGAACAAGGTTTGCTCGCGAAAACGGTTTTTGCTCTATTGAGACGGAAGTGCTTGCATCTGTGCGTGCATGTGTGCGTGCGCGCGTCGCACTCTGTTACCAAGAATCTCCAACACTTGCAGGTTGCCGGGGCTTCGACCCAGATGGTGTCATGCAAGTGGCTCGAGTTAAGTGTGACTGCGGCCAGGCGTGTCTACATGCAGCAGAAAGGCAATCTGAACAATCAGAGTGACTGCCCGCGAAGATGCTCTGACTAATTAGGCATTGATATCAGGGATGTTTTTCCTGCCGTTGGAGCTGTGCACGGCCATTCACTCACTTGCCGGGACTTCTGCTGCATCGCACGACAGCAACACAACACGCCCGTTCCTCAAATTGTGTGCATTCTGTCATGTCAATGTACGCGGGTCTCCCACCTGTTGTGGCGGTGCCCGAGCCGAACATGAGCTCCAAAGGCCACATCCAGCTCCTGACTGACGTGCACGCATAACTCAACCACTCGTGACACCGGAGGTTGCACGAAGCTCTTGTCCTGCTGCTGCCACACGCACTCACTGCCTAGAATCGCGAGTTTCAGAGTTTCCCCTTCCATTTAGCTCGTGGGCGAAGACATGCCAAGAAGAACACAGCTCCTAGCAATCCTAACGGCTGCCGATGTGCAAGTGGTGCTAAACTCTGTCACTGGACATCCAAGTCACCGCATTGACGGCCGGCTGCATGCTCTTCAAACCAAGATTCCTTCGCATCCACCTCTGGGCAACGCTATGCTTCTAGATACCTTCGCAGTGCATCCGGATTCTGGGACCCATGCCCCAGAAGTTCCAGCGAGTGAAGCCAAAGTGCCTCTGCATGATCTCGGAGTCGAGGCAACTGCGTAAACTATTGGTGTTGTCTTTGGCTTTCGCAAATTCCACAGGGAGTCGTCGAGAATACTGCCATATCCTTTGGTTCAAAGGTTTCTCAGCCGAGCCCCAAAATGCAAATGCGCGGACCTCTCGAATGAAATGTCAGCCACCGCGACACATTTTCAAAGTGGAACACTGCCACAGCTAGTAGCTGTCACCACAAAGCAAATTCTAGTTTCGGCAGGGTTCCTTTTAGGCTCCGTGAACGTGCACATAGGTTTGATGAACGGCTTTGGTTGCTGACTCAGGGTTTTAACCTACCCCACTCTTGCCTACGTCGATTTCGATGCCAACCGACGAAAGTATGGAGCTCTCTCAAGTGAAACAAAGAGAAACAATCGAAACGATCAAGATGATCAAGATGAGGGCGCTCAATCTGATTTTTGGCTCCGGGATCGTCCGAACTACGAACTCAGACAGACTATGCAGCGCCCGCTTGGCGAGCAAGGACAGGAGCACTGGCGGCATGTCTACCCTGCCAGCTTGCTCCAAGATATCGGTGGCAGCTTCGAAAACAATCTCGCTAGGCGACAGCAGCTGCTCGGCCATGCCTCTGAGCAGGTCCAACACCATCTGCCACCCATTGGACCGAGCAGACTTACATGCCAGCGCTGCCGCCTCAGCTGAGCCAGGACTCCTACGAAGTGACTACTATGCGGTGCTACAAGTAGCTCTGTAATGCGACTCGGTTTTGACACGACAAGATGTTCACGCTCGACGAGCTGCTGTGTAGCATATCTCGTTGGGCCTTACGGCCATAGTTTGCATGGACTCGACGAGCTGGACAGACTTTTCGGACTGCGTTCCCAATGCACAAGCTGTGATGATGGACCCGTACGTGACCTGGTCTGCTGCAATATGCCGCCGGGCTGAATTATCCAGTAGTTGCAATGCCAACTGCCACTTGCCTGCCCACCCACAAGCACTCACAGCTGCACTGCACGTCGTCTTATCCAGCGGGAGCATTAGACTCTCCATGCTAGCCAGCACCCAGAGTGCATGCTGCCACTTCTCAGACTTATGGAAGACACTAATGGCTGCGCTGCAGATCGTCGTATTTGGCTTGAGCTTTGCCTCGCAGGAACAGCTAAGACATCACTTCTTCGCATACACCCAAGGCCGTAACTAGTCTACGCCGCTAAATCCTCCGACACCCGAGGGCTGCGCTCTAGAGACCCCAACGATATCATCGACAGGGATGGAAGCAAGTTGGGATGAACAGATGATGCAGAAATTCGACCAAGCCCAGCCTTGGGCAGGTCATGCAAAAGCTCAATAGCCCGATCCCACAGAAGAGGATCGCTGCTGCATCCATCTATGGCACTGCCGAAGCTGAAGACGCTGGGCTGGAGGTTCTCCACGTACATTGAAGAAAGCAGCTGAAAGCCATGCTGCCAGCGCCCCAGTCGCGAGCAGGTTGTGATTGCAACATTGCACCTTGGGTGGGTTTCAAGCTGCAGCACAGCATCCAGATCGGGCCAAGCTGGCAGAGCTTAGAATCGCGCAAGGCAAGCGAGACACGCAATGCAGTCCGGCATCATGTGCTTGGAGGGCAAGTCTTGGAGCAGTTGGAAGACACGCCGCCACTGCAGCCCTCCACAACACGATGAGAGAACAGAGTTCAAGCTAATAGCATCTGCTTCGATGGTCTCCCTTTCCATTGTGCTGAGCAGGGACAGTGCCATCTGCCACTGCTCGCCCTTTGAACAGGTGGAGAGTGCAGCGTTGTAGGAGATCAAATTCGGCCAAGTCCGCTTCCTTAGATGCACCCGATGATGGCCTAACCTTCGATGAGCGATTTATACTCGTCCTATATGTCAAGTGAATTCTCGACTGGGGGTCTGCCGCATAAGATGCAAGTGGTCCAAAGCTCGTTGCCACTGCCCCTTCTTTTCGCAAGCTGCGATGGCAGCGCCATAATGAAAAATGTTGACCTGTCAGGGTTGCAGAAATACTGAAATTACTGAGCAGAACATGCAAGAAGCACGCCTCTATCATGGAATCGCGCATCACATCCAGGATTATGGTGCCCAAGTGTGCATGGCCAGGACCAATCAGCCGACCCAAAATAGTGGTAGCAAATTTCGGGTTTGATCTCCACTGTGCTATTTCGCCGGCAAGTTTCTCCCGGACCTGCTCGGGATCAGCACTGCTGGTTTCAAAGCTTGTTTTGGGGCTCAACCTCGCCTGGTCTGGGGTCACTGCCTCTCCCAGTGCCAGCAGCTGCTGCAGCTCCACGAAAGACATGGTGCGGCTTCTAGGTCGAAGGCGGAACACTCGGCTCCATCATGTTCCTTTCCTTGCTCCTGTTTGGGCCCAATGCGGCCGCACACATGTAATACTTCATCAATTCCTGCATAGCTATTACCTACGTGCGTACCTACCTACCCAGGCACCCGCGTACAAACGTACATACACAAAATACGTACATAAATACACCAGGAACAAACACACATGTACCAACATACCGAGACAGAGAGAGAGAGAGAGAGAGACACACACACACATATATATATATATATACCTACAACCCTGTCGGCCCGGAATAACAGCCTGAAGCCATTCAGACCGGAACTTCAGCCCGCATGAAGAATATCAGCCCCATGAAGAATTATAGCCCGCCTTAGTTTATCCAGGGGAAGCTTTCGGCTACATTGGGCGACCCAGAGGCTCAAACTACATTGGAAAGTAGAAGAAAAGATCGTTCGAAAGAGAAGCATCCCGAAACTTTGCAAGCGAAACAGAACATGAGAAGCTTCAAGCCTCGGCCCGAATGTTTCCATCCTCGCTGCCTTCTGTGCTCTGGCGGTCGACGACGATGCGGCGAAGAGGCGCGCGATTGGGCAAACTTCTTGAAACTTTAAGCTTGTGCATTATGGGTCAAAAGTAGAAGTATTGTTCAGGGTTTTGGCCTAACTTAAGGCTAAGGCTAAGGGTGTTTAGGACTTAGAATTCCACTCATTGTTTACCCTGTTTCCGCCGCCTTCTAACGGCTCGAATTTTCAGGAACAGCCGATTAAACACTCGGAAGCCTTGCAAGCGAACATCCACTTTCCTACTGAGCCTACTGACCCTTTCTACGAAATCTTCGTCTTGTACACCAGTATCCCACCTGCGATGTTTCTTCCGATTCCCATCTTGCAAAGATGAAAGGGATCTGGATGGAGAAGTTCTTCAGGGGCAGGATATGCAGGGATCGTGGCGAGTGCCGGGACAGGCTCATTGTCGCCCCCGGGACGACTAGCAAAGCACGTCAGTTGCCATTGCGGGGATTCGGAATAATCCTCAAACATAGGACCTCCCCCTCCAGCCGCACACATGTGGCAAACCGGTCCAGTGTTCACAGTTCCACTTCTAGCATAAGACCTCTGTAGATTGAACAGATTCTTGTGCCATTCCATATCCCCTTTCACAGCAAAGACGGCTCCGAAGAACCTCTGAGTTCCTACGAGAAACCCTTCTTCGAAGAGGCTTTTGAAATCCGAGGCCATGCGTGTGTGCAACAATTCCATCACTTCAGGCTTCTTTTGATGGATCCAAGAACCAAGACTGAACAGCAGCCATCGGGATACAAAGGTTGAACCTCGATAGTTCGTTGTTTGCTTCATGAGACAGTCACGGATATCTTCTGGCAGGCAATAATCATCCACACAATCGCCAGCGGCACCGAACGAAGGCAAGCCCGGTGATTGCATCAGATCTTGTTGACAGGTGCAACAGCTAGGTCGGTCTGGCAAAGAACCCAAGACACTTTGCATGCTAAGCACCATGCACTTGCCTTTCTTTTGCGATCGACCCTCATCGCCATGTATCAGCAATGGCACAACTTGCCCCAAACAGTGTTGTAGCGGTGAGCCAAACACTTTGTGATGAGGGTGCCCGCAGCGAAACATATTCCAAAAGGAGTGAAGATTCCTTGAAGGATCGTCTCCACAAAGCAACTCGGGAGAATTTGCCATGAGGTATGATAGCCAGGATTGAGGCCGAATATGCATGTTCTTATACGATCTTGAGTTTCATGGTCTATGCCATCTACAGGCACTGGCAACGACAAGCCCCTTTTGCGAAAAAACCTCTCAGCAAATGCTTCCGGATCCTTCGTGGCACTCACTTTCTTGCCTGCAGGCACGATTGTGCCCAGAGTCAGATTCACTGACTTCGCCGTGGCCTGGGCTGATGGATGATCCAATTGGTTGCACTATGTCTTTCAGGAGGAAAGGGTCTGCGGAATTCTAGGGTTTGAAACTTTTGGGATAAAGTCGCGATCGGACTTGGGTTTCGTGTAGGAGCAGTAGTACATGCTGGGTTTGATCACGAGGATTGGGTTCAACTTTACGTAGTTCAGACCAATCATAAGACGAAGTGCTCCATCGGCGAGGTTTTCAGCCAGGCATTGAAGAAACTCCGTCTCATCGTCATCGTCATCGTCATCCGTACGACCTGCCGTGCGTGCCAGCGTCGGCTACGGCTTGGGGGTCTGGTTGCGGTTTTTCGTGCTTCATAGGAGAAAGCTTAGGGAGGGTTCGTGGGGTTTGAAGCATAGGGTTATCCTTTATAATGAGTCCAGTACTCCATTCCTGGTTGATCTATTTTGGGGGGTCTAGATAACTTCGGACTTTGGGGGCGATATTTGGGAAAACGATGAGGAAAGGCTCCTGTAGCTGGACCCAAAGCTTATTGCTCAAAGATTTACTTACAGTGCCACATCATTGGTTTGAGCTTAAATTACCGAACCCGGAAGCCCAAGATCTTTTCATGCCACCTCGTAATGGTTGCCTGTAGCCGTCTTCTGCTTGCACGACCAAATGAACCACTAACCTGGGTTATAGCGCGAATGCATTTCTTAAAGCAGCACAGAGCGAAGGGCATGTAATGCTTTCTTTCCTTCGGCGTGAGGCACGATCGATCTGTAATCAGGTCCCCAAAGTATCAGTTGAT